AGAAAAGGAGAATATTGTTTTATTTTTAATCATTAACTTTGATTACAATAGCAGAAGAATGGGATCAAAAATGTTAATATATCAAACTTTTCAGCAAAAAAACCTCCACAGAGCTTTAGTTATGCATAATGAATTCTTTGTGATTTAAAGGCAAGGGTCTGTCCTAGGCACTGTTACATACATTATTTCATTTAAATAAGTTACCATGGGAATTTTATCATTACTATTTCATCATGTGTTCAGTCTTTATTCAAAACGTGATGTGTTTTTCCAAGGCTGTAAGTTTCTATTTCTAACATTGGTTTGTCAGGCTCATCAGGGATGCAGATATTAAATAACAATTGTAAATAGCAATTCAGTTTCTCAAACCAAACCAACTTCAATTTAAAGTGTATGAAAGGTATGTAAAACAGTAGTCCGCTGAGAATAAAAAGTCACATAGGTATAATGCATCTTTAGAGATTTTATCAGTGATATCAGAACCAAGCACTGGCAGATGGCTATTGTTATAAATACAAATGGTATAGAGACCTAGGGGAAAAAGAAATTTTTTTTAAAAAATGATAAATATGAAAATCCACATACAAGGGATACATATTACATAAATAAAAATAAGAATATAATAGTAGAAACCAAGCTAAATTAGCCTAATTAGGTTAGATAAACCTGGCTTATAACACACATAAATGAGAAGAAGGAATTGCCAGGCTCCCATCATCAGAGTTTTCATTGGAGTGAATGAAGTGTCTAGCATTCGACTTTTTGTGAATGGAAATGACCATGACATTTAAATGGTACAATATCATCTTCTGACCTAGAAAGCAGAAATATGTTTAGAAGGAGTTTCAAAGTCTTGGTAAAAGTCATACAGTCTTCCCTAGAAAATACATCAAGTCAGTAATAAATTTAAGACAAAAAAGACAAAGACTTTCTTCATGTGTCTTGGCCATTCTTCTATTGAGATCCCACCTTACTCCAGTTAGAAAGGCCACTACCAAGAAAACTTACAATAACAAATGCTGGTCTGGATGTGGCCAAAAGAGAACTCTACTTCACTGTTGGAGGGAATGTAAACTTTTTCAACCACTCTGGAAAGCAGCATGGAGATTCCTCAAAAGACTAAATATAGAGCTTCTCTATGACCTAGCAATTCCACTCCTGGGCATTTATCCAATAGAACACAAACAAGACCCAACCATTTTCATTGAAGCACTGTTTACTATAGCCAATATATAGATTCAGCCCAGATGCTCCTCACTGGACAAAAGGATCAAGAAAATGTAGTATACATACAAATGGAATTCTATTCATCTATCAGAAAGAATAATATTGTGCCATTTGTAAAGAAATAGAAAGACTTGGAAAAAATTATATTAATCCAAGTAAGCCAAACCCAGAGAAACATGATTTGCATGATTTCCCACTTTTGTGGTAGCTACAATTCTAGTGCCTATAAATCTACAAGTAAACACACTGGATGGTAAAAAAGAAAAAAATACACTGGGACATGATAAATTATACAGGTCTCGGTGTTCACACACAGAGAGACCAAAGGAGAATATTTGTAGGATAGGAGCACAAAAGCACCAGTACCTCTGTGTATCTGATCATATAAAATAATATTTATTAAAATGAACTCCAGGAAATGGAAACAAGAGGTAATTTCTTTTTGTTTCTTTTCCTTTTGTCTTGTTTGTTCATTTATCTATCTGCAGGAGGGTGGTGGGGGCACAGAAATGATAGGCAAAGGGTGAACAAACACAGAAGTGATACTCACTAGACACTATGTTGAAAATGAACTATACAACTGTAGGCAGGAATGGGAGGGAAAAACTAGGAGAGAGAGAGGGAAGGGGTGACATTGTCCAACAAGAAGTGTAGTCTTTATCTAACTGTAACCCCTCTGTACATCACCTTTACAATAAGAACAAAAAAAATGCAAAGACTATTTTAAGATCCTCTGTTGCTCAGGTAAATATCCAAAGATAAATAGGATGAATTTATAGGCTTAGTATATTAAGATTATTAATATACTATATATATTAATGGTTTAGTATATTTAGTATAAGAATACTAAAAATGGCTAGAGCAATTCTCTCTATAGTTTTGTTTTTGCTTTGCCAACACTGCTAAGGATCCATCCCTAATATCGTGTTAGTGTTAGAATTATGAGAGTACTGTCCCTAACATTATTCAACATAGAGAGAAAATTCAATAGGTTATCTCTTTTTTTTTCCATATTTTTGAACAAGGCTTTTTTATATAGCCCAGAATGGCCTTGAACTCCTGATCCTTCTGCCTCAGCCTTCTGAATACTGCCATTACAAGAGGGCTACCATATGTGGTGGTAGCAATTCACTTTTGAGATGTCTTTAAAGAGACATGACAGCCTATCATCTCACAGCTCAGTATTAGTTATCAAAAAATTGAGAGAAGAGAACCAGCACTCATAAAGGCAGACAAGAAAATCTGAATTTCTTGTATTTAAGATTGTCTTTGAAGGGCATGGTGGTATGCCTGTAATCCCAGCACCTGGTAGAGGCAAGAGAATCTTGGGATTGAGGCCAGCCTAAGCTACACAATGATTTGCAGGCTGACACTACACAGGAATACTCGGTTACAGAAAAAAAACAAAAACAAAAACAAAAAACAACTAAGGGGGGGGCGTGGCTCATACCCGTAATCCTAGCTACTCAGGAGGCTGAGATCTGACGATCCTGGTTCTCAGCCAGCCCAGACAAAAAAACCCATGAGAGTCTTATCTCCAATTAACCAACAGGAAACCAGAAGTGGCTCTGTGGCTCGAAGAACCACTTAAGCTGAAGAGCTCAGGGACAGCACCCTGGCCCAGAGTTCAGGCCCCATAATTGGAAACAAACAAGAAAAAAAAACCCTAACTTCCAGCCACTAGTAGCCCACGCCTGTAATCTTAGCTACTCAGAAGGCTGAGCTCTGAAGACTGAGTTTCAAAGCCAACCCAGGCAGGAAAGTCCATGAGATTCTTAGCTCCACGTAACCATCAAAACATCAGAATTAGAGCTTTGGTTCAGGTGGTAAAGCACTGGCTCTGAGCAAAAGAAAAGCTCAGGGTCAGTGCCCATGTCCTGAGTTCAAGCCCCAATACTAGCACACACACACACACACACACACACACCATGTAACTGAAGACATTTTCTTGCCTTCTTTTTGATGCGAATATAAGTCAAATAATGATATGATCATATAAACAATGATAGCCATTAGTGTCACACTGTGGATTTTTCTCAGCTTATTTAATTCATCCATCATTCCTAGGAGGGGGGTATATTATGCATTCCCATTGTAGATGTGAAAAATAATAGATTGTGATGGAGTTAGAAAATAGGCTGAGGATTTAGACTTGAAACCAGGCTCTTAATATTCATCATATATTATTCTTTAGTGTATTACAAACCCATTATTGGTTCATAACTTCTCTCAAACTATCTAATTAGGGTCAGTGGTCTAACAAAATGTGGGTCAGAAAGCAAAAATGATGGAAAAGCTTAAAAGTTGCTGGAAGTGAAACTATGAAGAGATTAGACTTTGAGAAGTCCCCAAGGAGGATTACTCTAGATGGCATCCCCCTTCCTGGGGATATCTGAGGAGCCTGGGGATTACACTGTGTATCAATTTGCACCGTTTGGTTTTCTATTCACTTGACTGTCCACGTAGATTATAACCAGCCTAAAGGCAAGAGCCAAGTCTTACTGAAATCTAGTCACTTCTTTAAAATGAGTATTCAAACATGCAACTGTTAAGTGGGATAGATGTGTGGAAAAGGTAGAAGGAAAAGCTGATGGCAAATCAAGCAAAGCTGGTGATGAGAATATTACTTTCTTTCTGCATTCATATATTTTGTACTTCGTAATTGTCAAACACTCCAAAGATACTGCCAGGATTTCAGTCTTGTCTGTATTCTCTGCTTTGTGAGCTTGGGGAAGTGACTTAACTCCTCTAAACCAGTTTCCTCTTCTGTAAGTGGGCCTAACAGGAATATACACCATTTGTGTTATTGAGAGAACAAAGGGTGATCATCCAAGCAAAGCTTTAAGCCAGAGGTTAGTGGCTCACATCTGTCAACCTAGCTACTTAGGAGACAGATCTGAGGATCACGGTTGAAGCTAGCCCAGGCAGGAAAGTCCATGAGGCTCTTATTTTTAATTAACAAGTAAAAAAGCTGGACATAGAGCTGTGGCTCAAGTGGTAGCAAAAAAGCTCAGGGACAGTGCCCAGACCCTGAGTTCAAGCTGCATGACTGACAAAAAAAAAAAAAAAAGCTTTAAACATGCTACTGAACCAAGCAAAAGACTTTCATTTTCAGTTAGGTCATCTTTCTCTGATTATATTCTTACACTCAAGCTTTTGTTTCTTCCTATGCCTACGCTTCAAGGACTTTCTACTGTCCTATGAAGTTTTTTTCTCATTTAGACTGGAAAATAAGTTTAGAGGTAGTAAATTTGAAGAGATGGAATTTGACAATGATCAGAAGAAGCTGGCATTTCAGAACAGTAGATATTGTCATTTGTGACCTCCTGTTGTCTCTTCTATTTCCCATTCACCAACTTTGATCCTGACTATATCAAATACTGTTATGTATTAGTATTCCTAATTAATAATCCCCATAATCTCTGGTCAAAAGTCTCATAATGATCTGTCCTACTTCACAGACAACTATCATTCTCTCTAATAAACCATTCAATGGCACCTAACAGATTTTATATTGACTAAAGCCTAGTCAATAGAAATTAGGATTGAAGCGAAGACCAGATTATCTTTACATGTTTAACTCTCCATTGAGTAGAAAAATACTTACTCCTAGATGTTCTAAAAATACTCTTCAAATATAGTTACAAGCAATTATTATTTTTACCAAAGACAAAAATAATTAGAAAACCCACTTTATCTTATAAAGTCTACATAGGTGGGGCTCCTGGTATCTCAGTTTTAGTGTTCTAGTCATGATTGATGTGGTCCAAAGAGAATTCACAAAATACACAGTTTATCAGCTCTATTAGCCTTGCTGAGACAATAAAAAGGATACCATAATGACATTTACTAGGACAGATATGAATGGAGAGGAGTGAATATGAAGTGTCTTAAATAACAAAGGCAGTTGGTCTAGGTGGCAATTAAAAATAATCTTGAGACATCAATTACATCAATCATAATGTTGCTAAATAATGAGGCAGAAATCACAAAAGGAACAATCCATGTTAACTGAGGGATCATGTTAGCCGTCCATGTCATTGTCATAGCCACTGCAGAGAAACAAAAACACACCAGAGGAAGTGGGTTATGAATAAGGATCTAATGAAAAACCTTTGAATAATATTATCTCACAGTAAAAGCACAATTTTTTTAAGTCACTGAGAAAAGTTACCTCTTTATTTCTTGTGTTATCCTTACCCGAACCTCATGCATCCATTTCATTAACCATTTTTATGTCTGTCACAAAAGACCAGAAATGTTTTGGGAGCAAGGATCCTTCATTTCTCTTCTACGAAGCTAGTGCTTCACTCACTGACAAGCAGGTACTAAGTTTCCAAGAAATAACTTCAACAATAAATCAGTTTCATTGAACAGATTTTCAAAAGTTTGTTCTATTATCAGAACGCTAATAGATACAGTAAGGATCAGAAAGACACACTGCAACACTTCTGAGCTCATATCATACTCCAGTTGAACCCATTTAGAAAAATGAACCACAACGACCAAGGAAATAAATAACACACCAGTAAAAATGTTTATGATATTTGAGATTTGTCTAAACTGCTTCCCAGCAGAAGTGATTTTACATCCCAGGAGTCACGTAGCAATGTCTGGAAACTGATTCTCACAAGTTGGGGAGATAGGAAGTTGCTAAGGCAACTAGTGGGTGGAGACCAAGGAAGTTGCTGAACACGATGGGATGCATATTTCAGGGTTGGGAATGGTCCTTTACCTTGACTGGTGAGGCTCTGAATTCAGTCCCCAACACCACAATAAATCAGTAGTATGGAAACTGAGAAATCCTACTAGACACCAACCTGTAGGGAACCTTCTGTGTGCTGTTTTTGTTTGCTTTGTTTTGTTTTGAGTTTTGTTTTTTTTTTGTCGGTCGTGGGGCTTGAACTCTGGGCCTGGGCGCTGTCCCTCAGCTCTTCAGCTCAAGGTGAGCGCTCTAACCCTTGAGCTACAGTGACACTTCCGGTTTTCCGGTGGTTTATTGGAGATGGGAGTCTCACGGTCTCTCCTGCCCAAGCTGGCTTTGAACCGTGATCCTCAGATCTCAGCCTCCTGAGTAGCTAGGATTACAGGCGTGAGCCACCAGCGCTCGGCTTGTTTTGAGTTTTCTGTACTTAAAGCTGAAGAGGTCATTGAACACTCATTTAAAGTGATAATAGGTATGAAGACCACCCATGGAGAAAGGCCCCCCCCCATATTCATGAGAATCCACGTGAGCCCTGTTCATCGGATGCAGATAGATGCTAGGACAGACCACTTCTTCCTCCACAGAGAAACAAGTTCTCAGTTCTGTCTGTCGCCTGTGTGAGTATGATAGAATCTAATGTCTCAGTTTATACTTTCTTGATATGTAGATAATTTCCAGGGAGTCTCTGGAACATCAATATACTGGCTCATAACAAACTAAGAATTTTCAAATGTGACAGAATTAAAATATCATCTATGGTTCTTATTCCTAAATCAACTTTTTGTCATCTATCTCTCTATTACATCTATCTATCTATCTATCTATCTACTTATCTATTTATCTATCTATCTAGAGACAAAGAGCTGTGTGGCCCAGGATAGCAGAAAACAAAATCATCCTGTGATTGGTTGCTCAAGGTGCTGTAATTACAAACATGTACTAAAATGCCCAGCTATTAACCCTTTTAAATAGTGTCAAGTATCATATCACTTTCTTTTTTGGCTCTATCCTACAATACTGGAACTTGTTTAAAAGTATCTCCTGTCTCAATTCTTATTCATCTTAAATGCAGTATTGTTTATTGTTTCTCCGAAGCACTATATCTCTACACACTGATGTTTCCAGAGACATTTTAGAAATACTGGTTTGTCATCATGCAAAGAAAATTCCTTTATTTCCAATGGACATTCTACAAACATGATGTTCTTAGTACTCAATTATGTAATCACTAATGAATTTGCATACTCATCCCACATTGGTAGAGCTTTGCTTGTTTTCAGTTCGTTGATTGGATAGAACAGGGATTTGACTCAGGGCCTCCTGTTCATTAGGTAAGAGCATTTGAGTAATACCCCCCAGGACTTTTTGCTCTAGCTTGTTTTCTCATGCTCTTGTCTGGGTCAGACTTGGACCACTTTTCAGGTAGCTGCTATTACCAATGTTCACCATCATTCATGATTCTCAGCACACCTGTAAGAGATTATGTACCTCAAATTTCAACACTTGGATGACTGATGCATCAAAAGTTTTAGGCCAACCTGGACTACATAATACAACCAGGATGGTCTCAAACCATGATCCTCATAATCTTAGTCTCCCAAATAGCTAGATAGAAGCCACTGGCAGTTAACTATGCTGTATATTTTTGTTTTAATAACATTTAATTCAATTTTTGTTTTGTACTGGTACTGGGGCTTGAACTCAGAATTTCATCTGTTCCTTGGCTATCTTACTCACAGATGGCATTCAACTACTTGATCCATGCCTGCAGGCCAATGTTTTGCTAGTTGATTGATATTGGAATCTGAAAGACTTTTCTGTCCCAGACTGTCTTCTAACTTCAGTACTCAGATCTCAGCCTCCTGAGTAGCAAGGATTACAAGCATCGGCCACCAGCATTCAATTCAATAACAGATCTTTTAAAAGCTCAGAATACTCTATGGATTTAGCTAAGTAATTTATTTCACTTATTGAGTATTTTAGTTGTTTCCAATTTTTTGCTGTAATACCTAATTATATGATGACCTTCCTTAAATGTATATTTTTCATATATAGTTCTGATTATTTTCTTAACTTTAGTTTGTAAAAAATTGATAAATATCAATTCAATATTTAAATAAAGTTTAAAAATTATAACCTGAAAGACACTGAAATCAAATTACAAAAGCTTGCAGTGAAAATACTTCTTGTGTTATCCACGTAAGGCAAAATAGTGACTCAAGGTTGAAAGATAATGTGAGAACCCCTAGTTTTTCCATTTCTCCTAATTTTCATTTATTTTCACCTCTCCTTTGATTCTGTGAGTCTGCTATTTATTTTTAAATGTATACTCATCTCTTGTAAGATTTTCTTCATATTTTATTCTTTGTTGTACAACTGAGGCTTTTGAGTAGTAATTATTTTAGTCAAAATTTCAGTGTATCCTCTTTTTCCATCATAAATTTTAGAATTATTTAAGGTAAATAACTGGATTGTTTTATATATTGGCTTTAACTACATGCACCAATTCAACATTACTATGTACTCTTTCAACTGCTAATACCCTACATTTTCAAATTGATGATTTTGTGTGTGTGTGACCTAGAAGAATACTGAAAATCAAATGTGTTAAATGATTTAGTACTGATTGTACAGCAATACTGTGATGAGAAGGGATGTGAAAGGTGATAAGCAGGATTTTGAATCAAATCTGTATTATACATCAACATTACACTTACCTTTCCCATATTATTAGGAATGCCATGCTTTAACATGAATCTTCTTTCCAAACCAGATTATACTCTTTGTCACAGTACTATTTGAACATTACAAATTGGCCCTTTCAAATGAACAATAGACAGTCAACAAAGGCAAAGTGATTCTATAGTTGTGCAGAAAAGACCAGCGCCTTACTACTGTCTTGCCCATTTGTGTACAAACCTGAAGAAGGAATTTCCCTGGGTGACAGGAGAGTCATGTAGGAGATATTAGCCAGTAAATAAATCACAGTCACCAAAGGTATTGCTGTATATATGGGAATTGTCTTACTGGGTTCCTTTAATTTCCCTATAATTCATAAAAAAGCAAAATCATCACTGGTAAAAATCATTTCTGAAATTCATTTTTTAAATTATGCATGCATCCAACATTAATGGGGTTCTTCTATCCTCTCTATCAATGACCATATACACACATACACACAAACTGCTATGCATTCATCTCCCTTAAGATTGGTTCTAAATGGAAAAAAAAAAAAGTTGGGGGACATTTTCCACACTAATGGTAGCATTTCTGAAGATACAAGAGTTAAAAATGAGCTGGGCACTAGTAAATCACACCTGAAATCCTAGTTACTCAAGAAGCCGAGATCAGAAGATCAAGATTCAAAGCCAACCAGGGCAGAAAAGTCTTCAAAGTCTTCTTTCCAAAATAGCCAACAAATGGTTATAGTGTACACAGCACTAGCTGTGTACAAGTAACCTGAACCAAAAAATGCCAAGTGAGAGGGCATAAGGTCTTGAGTTTAAACTTTAGAATTAGTAACAATAATAACAACAACAAAGTATCAGAAGTGAGATTTGATCTCACAGTGCTGGTAGGACTTAGAATCTACCGAGGAATTTTGTCCTGAGTTTAGAGAGTGGGAATATAACAATAAGCAAAACCCAGAAGACATTGGTTAAACAATCACTTAAAGAAAAGCTAAAAGTGGTGCACAAGAAGTATTAGTCTAGAGAGTAGGGCTCCCTCTATCATGACTCCATAGATTGCTATTTTTGTTAATTTACCATTTAAACACATCCAAGACTGCTATAAGATGCTAGCTCTTATAACCCAGGCTGTACTGTATGAAGGCTATATTTTTTTCATAAAAACTATCTTTAGGTGCTTGTATAATGGAGTTTTAATTTAACATGTTAGTTTATGAGTTCATAATGCATCTTAATCAATGTCACTCTGCAGTCTACATCTTGATCATTCATTTGAAGTTCTTGATGTAAAAAAGGGCTAACTGGATCCAACAACAATTTGTATTATTATGTCAAAACTTAACACAACATTCATCTATGAAGGAAAAATGCTAGAATACAACACAGTTCCAAAAGTAAATTAATAAACACAGTCAAGCCAAACAAAGTCCAACATTTGATCAGTCCTGAATTCACAGTTTCATAGGAGGAAAATAGTTCTACAATTGAACTACACTCACATTGAGGAAACTATATCAAATTAGGAGTCCTGTATTTGTGGTCTCATTAAATAAAGTTGGAAAAAAAGAGATGTTCTATTAAAAAAAAAAGAAGAAAAAATCCATAAGAGTTTGGGCACAACATGAAAAAAAGAATTAATGCTGACATATACTGTTACAGAAAGCCAAAGCAGGGGGAAAAAACAATCAATTTTTCAAGATAAAACTCAAAACACCATAAAAAGATGTGTATTGCATAATACATCCAATTAAGTTATGGTTTGACTTTCTCTTAATAGATTTTTATTTTTTATTTTTTTAATAGATTTTTAATTACCTGCTACAAATGTAATGCATCCCCCTCCTGAAAATGCAAGAGATCCTTGGAAGATGGCTTCTGTTATCTGGGAGAGATCTGGAATGTCCCCATCAAAAATGTTCTGAAATCTTTCTGCATTCTTCTGCCTCCATCTTACCAGCATAAGCACTCGACTTAGGGAAATGATGCTAAGTATGGACACCTTCAGCATTTGTACTTGCCATCTGAAGCCAGGTCATCTCTTTTATTCCACGGCAATTCAGAAATCCCACCATCCACAATGCAGCCAGGGCCAGACATTGCTTTGATAGACTTGGGGTAACACAGTCGGGATAAAAAGGTTGGATACCATACTCAACTAGCATCAAGGCATGACCAGCAGTCCTGTTGGTCCCAGAAAAATGGATGTCCAAACTCTCAGCAAGGAAGATATGGGGCCAAAGCATCTCTTCAGAAAAAAGTAGTGAGCTGCACTGCATGGGAAAGTGACACTTATCTCTACAAAGCAAAGAGATTTTGTTAGGGACAATATAGCACAGACAATCCAAACACACAGAGAGATCCCTATATTCATGCAAGAATATTCCAGAACTCCTTTGTGGGACACAAAAATTTCTGCCCCAATTATGTTAATAATTAAAAAAATCAGTGGCCCAGAAATATCCAAGTTCTCTTTTGAGCTGTATTTTCTCCTCTTTACCCATTGTAACTGAGAAATCTTAAAATTTTTCTATATAAATTACAAGTTCTAATTTTTTCCTCTCTATTTTGCTGGAATTCTGGATTCTCTGAAAGAAAGTGCTATCATTTTTGCCACCTTCATTAAATGTAGTCTGTTTTCAATTGTTAACAAAGCATATGTGACAAAATCAGAAAAAATAAAATGGATTACTTGCAAGAGTTTAGTTTGGCTTGTCATTTAATTATTATCAAATTAATACATTCAGAAGAAAAAGAGATAAGTTGAAACAGGGATTACAGTTCAAAGCTTCTCAAAAGAAAACTGTTTCCAAACCATTATTCTTAGCTCCGAGACATGTTCTAACACACACCTCTTAACTGTTTAAGAAAGTTCCACTTGCACCACCTAAACTGTTATTTGAAAATGACTCAGATTGCTCTGTGGGAAAATCCCTGTCTGTGGGTCATTTGCCTAAAACAATCAACTGTAATTATTCAATACAGCAATTTCCTAAGGCAAGAATAAAAGCATAGATAAACAGAATCCTAGCCTGAACTATGTGGTGGCACTAATCCCAGAGGGCCTTCAAAAAGCTCTGGCATTTTCCTGAAGCTCTCCAAAGGGAGAGGCTATGTAAGTGTCCAGGAAATAACTGACAGGATTCAAGCTCCAGCAAGACAAGATTGAGAGAGAAAGAAAGTTGTTCCCAAATAAACGAAAGCTGAAAGATCCCAATTAGCGGGTCATTCCTAAAGGGGCTGTATCAGCCTAACATGCAAAGATACTAGATGAAATGAATTTTACAACGTGTGGATGGAACAGGAGGAAAAGATTGGGAGAGAGCAAGAGAGTGACATTGTCCAAAAAGAATGTACTTATTACCTGACTTATTAACCCTTCTATACCTTATCGTTAAAACAATAAAAAAGTTTAAATCAATATAAATAAGACAATAGATCATAACTCACATGTACATGAAGAAATAAACTCTCATTAATGCCAGTTACATCGATAAGTATTTCAAAAGCAATATAATGCAACTTTGACATCATTTTATTCTTTTAGAAGATCTGTGTTGATGTTCTTCTGGTCTGTAAAGATGAGTGTGTATAGCCGGGCCCTGATGGCTCACATTTGTAATCCTAGCTACTCAGGAGGCTGAGATCTGAGGATCACGGTTCAAAGCCAGCCCAGACACAAAAGTTCATGAGACTCTGATCTCCAAAAAACAACTCAGAAAGTGGCACTGTGGTTCAAGTGGTAGAGTGCTCTCCTTGAGCTGAAGAGCTGAGGGATAACGCCAAAGGCCCAGAGTTCAAGCCCCACTACTGACAAAAAAAGGAAGAAAGAAAGAAGGAAGGAAGGAAGGAGTGTGTGTGTGTGTGTGTGTGTGTGTGTGTGTGTGTGACCAGTACAAGAGAGGGCTGAAAGAATAGCTCGTGTGTAAACCATTTGCCTAGCAGGCACAAGGCTGTGAGTTCGAACAGCAGTACCATATAGTCCTCCTTTTCAAATTGTAATTACTATCAGCAATAAATAATTGCCAGATTACTTTTTAGGTTAACCATAGCTATTACCACACACTTTAAAATTTAATTTTATTGAGACCAAATTTGTATACAATATTTAAATTGGCCTGAGTTTTGATAAATATATAGCAAATAGATTTGCAAAGCAAATATAATAACCACAGCATAGAACTTGCTCATCATTTCAAAAATGTTGTCTTTCTTTTTTGCAGATTAATTCCCTTTGTCCATCTGCGATTCTAAGCAGTCATAGATCTACTTATTGCTATAGTTTGGTATTTTCTAAAATTTGATATATATGGAATTAAGCTGTAGAAAACTTCTTGTATTGGGCTTATTTTACTCCCTATAATATTTGTTGGCTTGTTTGTTTATTTTGCAATGCTAAGGACCAAATTTGGGGCCTTATGATTGCTAGGAAAGCACTCTACCACTTACCCAGCAGCAAGACTGTGTCAAAAAAATTAAAAGCACTTTAGGAGCAATGAAACCAAGAATATAACATAGTAACCACTTGCCAAGATGATTAGTGCAGAGGATGGATCAACAAAACAAACTGCCTGCCCTTCCCACCACAAACAGAACGGTTTTGGAGGACAGGCCCAAGCACATCTTCAGGACTCTACTTCCTGTATTCCAGCACAGCCTTCTTGCGCTGTCCCAGCCATGACTCAGGCAGGGTTGAGAGGGTTCAAATGCAGTGCCGGTCCTTCCAGCTCCTCTGGAAGGTATAAGTGGTCATCCTTAGTAGCAACGTCTTGATTCTGTCAGCATTCAGAATTCAAGAGTTGTGGGGACGTGGCTTCCTCTACCTCACTTACCTGGGGGCCCAAGGCATACTTATTGCAAGGATGGAACTACTGCACAAAATCCTGCTAGGACAAAGCTTACCCAAAAGATGATGTCAGAGATCCCACAAACAGCCTCCACTAGCATAATGCCTAATGGAGTCATGAGATAGTACAGGAATGTAGCACATGTAGTGCCATAATGGAACAGTGAGACAGGGAGGAGAACTTTACCCAGAAGAGCTGGAGCATAGCTGGGTCCCAAGTTTCCCAAGGTCTTAGGGGTCAAAATTCCACACCAACGTGCACAGGATGAGCAAATGGAGTCAATGAAAATTATTCTCACACCCAACACTTCAAGTTTTCTCTATTAGGTTTTGAATTTTCTTGTGACCAGTGTCTCCTTTCTCCTTGCCTATTTGCCCCCTTGGAACAAAATGTCTGGTCTGTGCCTGCCCTGCCAATGCACTTTGGAAGTAAATAGTTCTGATTTCACAGGTTCATGGCAGGAGTTGATGCACAAGCCACTGGTGCATGAGACACAAGCATGCTGGGCTCTTGTCCTCTGGTAGTATTGAAATAATTCCAGGGACAATGCATACAGTTTTAAAGAGTTTATTTAGTAAGAGGAAGTACAGACCACCCAGAAGAATGAGCTGAGGGACCCAGAAACTCATTGTCCCGTCACATAGTCCTGGCTACCAGTAGGGAAGAGGGCAAGCTGCCTGAAGCAGTTCACTAATGTCTTCCATTTCCCTTTTCTGCATGTTCCCTGACTGCTGTCATGGGGAGCATGGAGCTCTGTTACTACTTCCAGCTGAATGGGGGTAATAAAGGTAGCCCATGGCAATTGCCAGAGGAGACCAGGAGGTACCAAGGGACTTTGAAGTAGTTGTAGTGATTCCAATCCTCAGGGCCTTGCTTGTTACAGGTTTTTATATTGGTGGTTATTTGTAGTTTGATCGAAGTAAGAGAGCATTCTTTTTGTTAGTAATTGAAACACACAGGGCCTAAGCATGAAGAGTATGATTAATATTTTGTATTTGATCCCAAGCATGGATTGTCAGTTCGAGGGAGATGCTTGAGGAAGAAGTAGCCTGGGTAAGTGGCTTTGGAGGCAATGAGGAGATTGGCCCTGCCTCTCTAAACAGTGTGATTGTACTTCTGGAAGGTGGAAGGAGGCTATTTCTCTACCAGGTTGGTCCATACCAGTCCAAGGAGACCTGAGGTTTATTGTGCCATTGTTTATTATTTAAAAGGACATACAGTAATCAAGAAAGACCCTGAGCTGAGCTGGGGTAGGAAACAGCACAGAGTCAGTGAGGTTCATAGAGTTAAAAGAGTTTTGGCTTTTTTTTTTGGGGGGGGGTCCAGTCATGGGGCCTGAACTCTGGGCTTGGGCGCTGTCCCTCAGCTCTTCAGCTCAAGGCTAGCACTCTACCACTTGAGCCACAGAGCCACTTCCGACTTTTTTTTTCTTTTTGCTTATGTGGTGCTGGAGAATCGAACCCAGGGCCTCATGCATGCAAGGCAAGCACTCTACCACTGAGCCACCTTCCCAGCCCGCTTTTTTTCATCTTGAAACCGTTGATCCAAACAGTAGAATCCATCTGACTTTTAATGAGAGGCATGCAGAAATAGCCTCTGGCAGGAAGGAGGAGTTTAGCTACCAATCTGGATAACAAGTCTTATCCCAACAGGGGAACAGACATCTTAGGTACGATTTGGCAAGACTGGCTCAAGTGGATATCACCCCAGTTGCAAGCTAAGGCTTGAGTGAAACAATGCTCTAGATTCTAGCCAGATATGTCCAGAACAACAATCTTGCTAGAAAATCAAAGTCCAGGAGCACAGGGAAGGACTGAGAAAAATGAGCGCCTGTATCCATTAGAAGGCTGACCCTGACGCTTCTAGACCTGGAGCAGTATAGATGTGAGTGAGCCTGTCGGGGAGGTCCCAGGGCTGTCATTGGGGTTGGGGTGTTAGGTTTATAAAAAGAGGTAGCCGAGTAAGAACAGCACCAGCACGCACGTGGTATTCAGGTAAGGGGTAGGTTTATTCAGTAGACCTGCTGGGACCAGGCAAGGTTGGCACTCCACGTGGCTGTGAAAGGCCTGGGAAGGAGAGAGAGCTGAGAAAGAGAGGAAAGAGCTAGAAAAGATCAGAGAGAGGGGTAAGAAGAGTAGCACTCACGTGGTATTCAGGTAAGGGGTAGACCTGCTGGGACCAGGCAAGGTTGGCACTCCACGTGGCTGGGAAAGAGAGAGAGCAAGAAAAGAACAGAGAGAGAGCTAGAATAGAACAGAGAGAGCAAGAAAA